ATATCCGCATTAAAATATGTAATTATTAATTTCTTGAACAAAATTCTTTAAAACATTAGTCTGTGCTAGATATCCTTGAAAGGATATGTGCTCCTGAACGCCCGTAGAAATTTAGTCATACAATCAACAATGCTTCCCATTCCATTCGGGAGGGGGGGGGGGGGAGATAGTGAAAACGGTTTTTAGTATGTCAAATGACATTAACATCACCACTTCCCCTTCTTTTTATAGAGCCATGGCGATTGTTTTAAAAATTCTAGTCATGCTAGCTACTATATCCGCATTAAAATATGTAATTATTTATTTCTTGAACAAAATTCTTTAAAACATTAGTCTGTGCTAGATATCCTTGAAAGGATATGTGCTTTCTATACATGTAATTATATCATACTTGCGGGAGTGTTCAAAACCTCGAACCCCCGGCCGCCAGTTCGTACATAACTTCGTAAATGTTATCAGCATAACTTGGAAGATATTTAAAAAAAACAACACCATGATATCAAGAGAAAGATAAATGGAATGGGACAGACATTAAGGGAAGGAGAGGGTGGGTGGGGGGGGGGGGGGGTTGTGGAGAGGAAACAGATACAGAGAGAATGGAGGTGAAATATAGAGAATGATTATGATGATATATATATATATATATATTTATAAATAAAGACAGCGAGAGAGAGAGAGAGAGAGAGGAGAGCAGGCACGTAGCCAGAGTTTGATGTTTGTGAGGGGGGGGGGGGGGCACATACATACAAAAAAGGGGTCTAAAAAAGTTCAATCGATCTTGGAAATTTTAGGGGGCACGTGCCCCCCCCCCCCCGGGTGGCTACGTGCCTGGGCGCCACCCCCTTAGACTACACCAGGGGGCCTAAGCCGTCCCCCTGAATGCTTATCTGACCGTTATAAAATGCCTCACATTTGAAAAAACGTTCTGCGGGGCGCTGCATGTAAGAATGGGGTGATGCGGATTTTTGTCTGCCCTCAACGTTTTTGCTCATTACGCCAATACTTGTCACCAGTACGTACCAGTATTTGGCTCGCAAAATTTCAAATTTGGCCCCCCCCCTAAGAAATCCTGGATCCGCGCCTGGAAACAGTCTCAGCACTCCCCCCCCCCCCCCCCCCCAAAAAAAAAAAAAAAAAAAAATATATATATATATATATAATAACAAAATATATATAACCATGGACTTAATACGGATGGACATTCAACGTGATTCTTTCTTTGATCCAATCATAGTCGCCGCCTTCTGATTATGTGCATCTTAATGAGAACATTCAGCTGTTTTAACAATAACGACTGCGTAAGCATTTTCGGTCATTGACAAAGGAGCAGTTTCCCTCTCTTGGGTTTTGTTTGGATGGTGTGCTCTGTAACATCTTCAATGGGAAGCAGCAAATTTGAAAAGCAGACGATTTTGGTGATATGAAATGTATTATTTCTGATTCCCAAACTTTTGCACACACCTATGACCTTATAAAACAATTATAAGGCCATGATCTGTATCAGTCCTGTGCGTTGTAACTCTGGAATATTATGAGGAAATAGGGGGAAACGGGATTTTAAATCACAACCCCAAAATCCAAAAATAACCTTTATCTGGTAATATCAACATGTTTTTCAAAAAAAAAAATACATGTACAGTACACGGAACAACAATTTCCGATTATAAGCCAGAACTGCACATCTATATTCCATGATTTAGGCGAGTAATTATCTTCCGCGCATGTATATTAACATGTGTAAAATCACTATCTTGATTCTGTCCCGGCTTTTTGCCGGCGACCATGATGAGACCAAAGGGAAGAAACATGTACGGAATGTTATTGAGACGACATTGACGGAGACAATCACAATGAATTCGTTAAGAAAACGATGAATGTCCATCCGTAATAGGTCCATGATATAACAGACCTCTCTCTCCAGAACCAAATATCAAAGTGAGCTGTCTGTGCATTTTGACTAGCACACCCAAATGAAAATATGTCATACAACGAGTCTGCAATGCTATGCACCTGACAGAACCTAGCTTTTGTTTACACTTGACTATCCATCTATTGAAGTGGAGATCTGCATAAGCACCTGTACATAACTGGGCTCACAAAAGAACTAATTTGAATAAGATCCTCACATAGAGCAATGAAATACAAATTTCCAATGAGCATAACCGAAGAGATACTAATTCAATACCATAGTTCATGGCATCCTTTTGACAAAGTTTGATGGTAGATGGGGTGAAATCGACCCGACAAGGGGCTAATCAGGAGACTAGTCTGCAAGCCATTTTTGCCAATGACTTTGATAACAAATGTTATTTTGCGGTGAAATTTCATGGGCTTGATGAAAGGGTGACAATTTCGGGACAGGTTCTGACAGGTGGGGGGGGGGGGGGGGGCGGGGGAGTGAGCACTAATTTGAGCGAAAATTTGAAAAATCGCACCCCCCCCCCCTTGAGCGCCAGGGGAGGGGGCTCATCTCCCCCAAAAGGGAAAATTAACGTGTTTTTACATGTTTTTCCCCAGGGATGGGGGCCTGGGCCTCCCGCCCCTCTGGATCCGCCGCTGGGTTCCGAGACTAAACCATTCCAGCATCTTTCACTAAGCTACACAATGATCTTTCCCTCCATTTGACTTTGTCGATGACAATAAAGGGGTGTCTAACAGGGGTGTCAACATAAAGAACCTTTTGAACTTCGACATGATTAAGGCTATAGCTCTTAAATAAAAGAAAGCTAATCTTAAACTATACATGTTTCAAAACACGCCAAATACCAATAGATTAACAACGTCATGCATGCCAAAGAAACTTTGACAAAGGCTTTCCTATACAGATTTCAGGTACACAACTCGGAATACCAACATAGGCCCGCATTCTGCTGTTGCTATCGTTCAAGTGAGTACACGCACTTGTTTCCTACTCTTGTTGCAGTTTTGAAATTGTAATTTGAATGTTATTAGCTCCATTTTTAGATTGTTTTAAATCATTATCATATATCATCTTACCGTAGGTATGTTGTATATCAAGCTATTTCTTGCCATCTTCCGTTTTCCTTATGTTTGAGCAGGTCTTTTCGTTTATGTTATGGACAGCTGTCACCATATTTTTTTCGGCACGACAAATTCAAGATTTAAGATACTAAAAAAGTTCATTTAGATCTATCCATGTTTCATTTAGAATAATTTATTGTGAAGAAAATATTCCAGTGTAATTGATGAACGCTAAGGCCAAATAAAAACAAAACAAAACATGTTTAGCGTCCTGCTTTTTTGAAAAATAGGGAGGGCCTTTTTTGTTCTTCTTTCAAAATGGCCGCTCGGTACATTTTCCCTGACAGTCGGGCTATTTTCAAGATGGCCGCCGACATTTCTTTTATTTTTTAAAATCAGAAATAGATCCATTTTAGAAGTCTTTTTCTTCTTTTTTTTCTTTGAAAAAAAAAAAAAAAAAAATTAAGAAAAAAAAGTAGGAGGCGGCCCTCCTAGGAAGCGGACGGGGTCGCTAAAGTCTAAACATGTTTATTTTTTGCCGGCCAAAAAAAAAAGTTAAAATCAGCCCCAAATTCGCCAAAAATGTACTGGCAAACAGGGACGTGCCCCCCCCCCCCCCAAAAAAAAAAAAAAAAAAAAATTAGTGTGCACACCCCCCCCCCCCCCCCCCCCCCAGCTATGTTTAGCATGGCGGCCATCTTGGAAAACTCGCTAATTACAACACAAAAGAAAGCAATCTGAACTGAACTGAGCTTATAACAACTTATGGTTGACACGTTCTTTCGGCGCCATTATCCTCCGGGCTTTATTTCATCAAAGAATTAGGGAAAGGATCGTGATTGTTTTTATCATATTTATGGTGGGTTTTTATGGTTAGGTCCAGGGATGAAAATGAGAATTCGTTGAGTTAAGAAATTAAGCATTTAACGTCGAAGCACGAGTCGTAGAACTCAGTTTGATGCTCCTTCAAATTTCATACCAAGTGCTGAAATCAGATGTGGTAAGGTTGAATGGTCTGAAAATGTCACAATTTTCTTATTTTTTGGTCCTCTTCCCTTATTATCCGAAATATTTTTTTTTCAAGAGCTCATGCAAAGCCCCAAACATATTGCTTTAATATTGTAAAAATAGAAGCTTAGCAAAAATTTCACAAATAATTGAGTCATGAAGGTCAAGACCTATATCGTGTGAGAGGGAGGGGTGATCCTAATATCCCAGATCTTAATTAGGACAGACATTCGGGTTCGGCTTCTGCAGTTACTATTAAAACCTCATTTTTCATCGCTTAACTTATTTCACAGCTGAGTTTTTACAGCCTTTGATCATATTCCAAATTCATCAGAAATTGAAAACTGAATAATTCTAGAAAATTGTCATTAAAAAACAAGTCACGTTCCCTCTTTATCATCTGTTATTCATTTTTATGATTTGAATTTTTCTTTTAATACGTCGTATTTCTGAAATTAAAATGAGAAGATCGATTTGTATAGATACACAAAGTAAGTCTCGAGTAGAAATGAAAAGACAAAGTGTAACACACATCCGTATTGCAAATGAAAGAGTGCCGAACTTGATTGACCTTTTGACGAACTTGATTTGACTTTGACAAATTCTATATGGACTAAGTTCGAAAATGAATGACCAAAGACGAATTGACTATGAGATGTGCAAGATCACGAATTTGGGGGGATATAGGCCCTACTTTGAATTAACATATATACATGAAGTATCAGTTCCCTATCAACCAGAAAGCAATAAAGATTCATGACTCAAGTTTTATTGTCCAAAATTATATATAATACAGATTATTTTTCAATTGGTGTTACATGTCATAGGCCTGTGATAAATATTATACAGAACATGATGGTGTCGTGTACTGAGAGCCAGAAGGGCGTTAACACAAAGAATAGCAGCAAATATAATATAAACTTTCATATAATAACCCAAATGCAAATTAATTTCATAACTTGCACAAGGACCCAGAAACATCCCAACAAATACTTTAAATCATTGGAAAGAGTTTTGTACCCAATTAAATGAGTCCGGAGTGTTCTTTATATCTCTAATACATGTTATTGGTTATTCTTTTCTTTTTCCTATACAGGTCTATTCGCCAGTCTTTTTTCTCATACTTATGTAAGTACATGTATATACATCATTTTTTATGAATATAATATAAAAACAATATAAACAAGATAATGTGCTATTTGCAAAATCACACATTTTGGCAAAAAAATTACAAAACAAGCCTAATTTTACAGTAGGCTTGCATGCTAAGCCTTATTTTAGGTTATTATTAAAAATGTAATGACTTGTGTAGAATGGTTCCCTAAGAAAAGAGGAGTGTTATGCACCACCCCCTCAGGAAACACTCGTCACACCTAAAACTAAAATCCCAACGAGAATAACAAGTTCATACTTCATCATTTGCCAGCACATTTAAATTTAAATATATTTGGGATATCAAATAGGTACTATGTCCCATTTGCAGGCCAAAAATATGAAAAGGTTGAATTCCAACGGCATTTGAAAGATGATAGTAATTTAGAACTCACCTAAAACAAAAGGGCTTGAAAATGTATTTTTGTTGGAAAATAAGGACCGTTAGTTGTCGAATCAAATTTAATGATCGCGGTCGTTTAATTAAATAGTCCGATTTTCAGACCCTTGTACCGAATGGTCGTACGTTTTGTGCTGCGCAAAGATTCAATCAGTTTAATTTTGGCCGTTACAAGAAGTGGGTTATTGATGTAGACAAATGCTCATGTACCCTTTAGAGCTCATTTTATGTATGTTATTACCATGCAAAGAAAAGAAAAGAAAAGAAAAGAAAAGAAGTCAGTCAGTCACTCACTGCACAGTGAAGTACGTCTAAAAAGTAGACAGGGTTCCTATTGCATAATTTGAATACTAGGGCTAATGTTTAAATTTCACAGACATAATTATGTGACATATTCATAATTCCTGCAAAGTTCTACAGAATTAGATATTGGCTGCAAAAGGGATAAACTTCCTTTAATGTTATTGTATCATCCCCCCGCAGGGGCGGATCTAGCTTTTTGCTAAGGGGGGGGGGGGGGTTGACCAAAATAATGACGATGCGGAGCATCGTCCACGAGCCGCAAAGCGGCGAGCCGATTTTTTGGGGTGTTTATTTGAACCCCGTAAGTGATGTTTTCCTGGCATCTATTAACACAATGGAGACCATAAAAAGCAGTGCATGATAACGTCTTTTTAAATCAAGTAACAGTTTAATACAGTTATATCCAGAGTTATCATGTGTTTGGTTAAGTTACCAGATGAGTTGAATATCTTCTCACAATATTTGCACTTGAAAGGGTTTCTCTCCAGCGTGCGTTCTTTTTTCTTTCTTTTTTTCTTCCTTTTTTTTCCCTTTTTTTTGGGGGGGGGGGGGCGCCCAAGGGGGGGGGGGGGGTTTAAACCCCCTAACCCCCCGTAGATCCGCGCCTGCCCCGGCTTCCCATACCTCCTGACATAAAGCCGGGCTTTCAGGCTGGGTAGACAAGGCAATATACAATGATAAAACAATGTGTGAAAAAGACAGATTTTTCCATAAAGTTTAAATGATTCAAATTGTCGTTCCTTTTGATTTATCAATTACCATCGACTCTATTTTTTCTTGACCTTAACAGCCTTCATCATGAATGTGATCGACCCTGACGTTGGGCCATGGGCCAGAGTTAGGCACCAATGTTTATGCCGCACACAGGGAGGTTTCGGACCCCGGTGCAAGAGGGACACGCGACACCTTTCGCGCATTTGTTGGCAGCACCGCTTAAATTACACAGAGGAGGAGTGAGTACTCTTATTGAATTTTCTTAAATCAAGATGCATAATGCTGTATACCACACTTCTGTATTATATTGTAATTGAGTAAAAGTAAATTGAAAGGACTGAACTGGTTTATTAACAACTTTCCATCATGGGCAAATGCCGAATTTTGAAATCTTCTACAGGGTAAAAATTAAAAGAAGACAACAAATATAAGTATATTTAGACTTCGGTGAAAAGCGCTTTATAATTAAGCTTCGTTTTATTATTGTTATTATTATAAGTACACACAAACAAAAATCATAAAACAAAATAATTAAACAACACAGATATTTAACCAGAAATATGGGTAGTTAGGTAAATGATAATATTACAAAATTATTATTTTCATTATGTATAGATCGAGCGCTACTTTCAATCCAACTAAATTACGTTAGGCCTACTGTAGGCTTAAAGAAAAATATTGATGCTTAAAAGGCACAATCTGTACAGGAAAATACATCCTTGACCAAATCAATTCGGCCATTAAAAAAAAACAGATGTATTGCCCTTTGGGACCAGCCCAAAAATTTGAAATATACGGTCGGCTTAAAAAAAAAAAAAAAAAAAAAAAAAGTCACCGTTTTTAAATATTTTTAAATGAATAAAAAAATATGTTTTTTGTTTGTTTAAATGGGATATAAATGCATAAAATTATCAAATTATTCGCGAATTCTAACTCGTCTTCTACCCTAGTTTCAAAATCCTGCTATAGCGTAAATTACATGCAAGTAGACCCCGGCCTCGTGCACCAGCTAGAAACCAGGGATATTTGGGCGGCGTTCACGGTTTTTATTTTTTAGTGGGCGACGGTCGCTGTTTAGAGTTTTCTACAGAAAGGCTCACAACACTTATTCATGCCACATTTTGAAGGCACTACAAAAAAGTATTACAAAAAAAGAAAAGATTCCCGACCGACCGACCCATGTTTTGGCACCTAAAGGACAATAAAACATTTTTTTTAGGCTGAATATATTGTACACAATAACATAACAGGCTTTAAAATGAGATCAAATGTAAAGATACATAATGGATTCATAAGTTTTGGCAGTGACAGTTTTGAAGAATTTTGTCTCCGAGTGAAACCCCATTCATATCTACTAATTATACCAAACATCATTAAGATAAGAAAGTAATCAACTTTGTAATGAAACCACACTAGTCCATTATTTTCAGTCAAACTTTTGGTTTAAACTTCTTTATACAGGTTTTTACTTTTATTGCTTATAGCTTTTTAAAGTAAATATCCAAAAGAAAAGTTGAAACAGAGTCAGAAAATAAACTCATCCATTTTACTGTTTGATAGTATTATCTTTCTCGTTAGCATCAATATTAAAAATTTAAATTGAGTTTCTGAAAAATCCCAGACCTTTCAAAAAGTATTCATTAAAAAAAACGGGGGAAATATTTATTGCTAAAACATTACATTACTTTCTTTCATAATAGTGTTTATTTTTGTATAGTGCTCACATCTGTAAGACTTGAAACTCCTGGCACTCTGCAATTATTACCCGGCTTTAACATGGCTGCCATTACGGCGCTCTAGCATTTCAAGCAATTAATTCCTATCAGGTACCAATTTACATCACCTGGGCCGAGTGTGGCAAATGTAGATTAATGTCTTGCCCAAGAACATTAGTGCTGCAGTGGGACTCAAACCGCGGACCTTGTGATCCACGGTCCGGTGATGTATACACTCGACCACGACACTTCTCATAAATTATGAAAGTCTTATAGTTTTTTCTGCAATGACCTCCCGTTGAACTTATAACTATATTGCATATGTTGAAAAATAATCCCACCATCTTGAAAAGATGATTTTGGTAAAATCAGAGAGATATACATTGGTTGGTTCAGGTGATTGTCTATAACTACACACACACACACACACACACAGACACACACATACAAACACATGCAAATATATATATCTTTATAAAAGTGCGAGAATTCTCAACTCTGACATGACAACGGGTGTTCCAGAATATGTAGGCGTGAAGAAAATGGTCTAGGAACGTGAGACGTAGCTGTACTTTACAAGTAATAAGTACAGCTACGAGTACAGCTACGTCTCACGTTCCTAGACCATTTTCTTCACGCCTATATAATCTTTATATATACAACTGAGGATGATGCTTCAATAGTGGTCAAGTAAATCATTCCACACATTGGCAGGATCATTACTGTAGCAAGTCGACTATCACCTGATCTAGTTTCTTTCTGTATATATTCATAAGGTTTAATATAAGGTTCATATTTACTATCAATTTAAGAATGAAGATTGGTGGTATTTACATTGCATATGAACATGTATATGGATACACATATAAACATGTACATTAATTCATACCAAAAGACAAATTTAATAAAATAATTTTGAGTTGACAGAAAACAAAAACAAAAACAATGAAACATAGATGTAGTTATGCATCAAAAATATCGTACATGTATACAGAGTGAGGTGTATACAGCTATCAATAATGTCTTGTGTTATTGTAATTGTTATTAATATCATTATTGTTATTATCATCATCATTATCCACTACATTCAACATCAAGTTTTTATCACGTCCATTGGTAACTATCACACCATGTATACATATTTGTGTTAACTCTGTATGATTGTACTCACAATGCTGCTTGCAATACGGCAAGACGAAGCATCTAGTCCCATCATAGATTGGAAGAGTAAAATATAAATTTAGTTCTTATTACAGTTCATATAATAAGATGGCAAAGAACATGGACAAATGATGCACCTTGATTACAAAATACATTCATTCCATACAAATAACTAGCACCCCATTTTATAAGTATTCAATCAAAGATAATAGATATCGGTTCTATACAGCCCATGTGAATATATATACAAATGATACAATATGATCTTTGGAAAAGTCTTACATGTTCAATAACTTATTGCATTTTGAAATTACTTTTTAGTCTTATCATTTTACTGAACATATTACTAAGATGATTTCAGAAGTTGTTACTTTTAGTCACTGATAGCATGTACATTAGCATTTTACATATATATTTTATCTTCTTCATACCAGAATAGAAGTGTTAATTCGAATGCGGCCAATCAGATGCCAAGCGATGACACTCAGAGGCCATCAATGCTCACGAGATGGCAGAAGACGCCATGTCTTAATGTACTGCACACAACACTGTAAGTACAATCATACAGGGTTAACAAAATTACAATTTGTTTTCATGAAGTGGGTTAAGCTATCATGAACTTACAAATTCAAAACTTGTTAGATGTAAGCTGTAATTAGCTTTTTATTACAGGACATCTTATTGATTAAAAATGCCAAGTAGCATGCAGTTGTGAACAACGAAATGGTCATAAACATTTCACATCTTCAAGGGCATCATTGTTTTTCCGGCTTCTATCACTTTAGTTCTTTAGCAGCAAACTTTTCTTTGAACAATAACCGCAAGTTCTATACCTTCTATCTAATTGAACATTATGAGGACACGTGGATGTATATAAAATGGATTACCAAACAGATATTATACATTTCAACCATAAATACCATTACCATGTTCATTACCAGTATTGGGTATGATGAAAGTATTGTATGGCAAAGTTGTTTCAACTATTTTCTAATGCAGAAACCTACCTCAAAGAGACACAGTGATTATGGGGTCATTATGGCCTTGCCTGTCCTTTTCTTTCCTCAGTTAGAACTCACATATACTGTGTAATTAAAGTCTCACCATGCATGTGATGAAGCAGAGCCAATGCATCTATATCCAGACTCCATCTTCTCTACTGTTAAGGTTGAAAGGTATCATACAAAAGGGTTCAAATAGAATAAATCCTCCTGGAATCCTTCATACAAAGCTGACCTGATTGAAGAAAAAAAAAATCAGAATGATTTACGTAGTGAAAGCATTCAAACAATTGCACAAATAATAAGAAACTGATCTCCTATCAGTGATTTTGTTGTGATGGAGACAGCTACTTACAAAGCCCCATTGTTAACAAATTTATAACACTGTATTATGAGAACGAACCAAAAGAAAATCTACAAAATACTTTTCTGATATTGGAGAACCATTTTATATACATGCATGTTATGAGTAATATTTTTCTACAACTTTTACAGCATTAGATGTGTAATTTTAGGTTTATAATAAAACGTAGGGTTTTTTTATACATTACTTTTGAATTGATATACATGGGCCTAGTCAAATAATCACCAATAACCATAATTATTTCCTATCCATAACTAATAATCAAATCCATATTTGTTGTAAATGTATTTAGTTTAGCTAAGTGTAACTTTGAGATTATTTTGTTTTATCATGTCACCCTTCACTGTAATGTGCTCCTATGGTAATAATAAAAAATGACACAGCAATTGATATGAAGTTCTAACCTGCTAACATGTGGACTATCTAATCTTAAAGGACAATCAAACCTTGGTGTTTATAATCAGTTAACTCTTGTGAAAGCTTGACAATAAAAAAATTAAATTGGCAAATTGGGTAAATTATCAGAAAGCTATGAATGTTTTTTTCCATGCAAATCTCAAATTGGCAATTTAGCGAGTGGATTGTGATATATTCGTGACCGACTCTCCTAACTGTTATACTTTTTGAAAAATAAGCATTTTAGTAATTTGTTGTGCTGGAACAAACAGAAGAGTTGTCTGGCACTACAACATAATGACATTATCGATTCAACCAATTTTAAATTTCCACGATTACAATATTAACAAATTGACAACTTTGTTATTGTATTATCCAATTTTATTCAAAATTTCAACAATCTGTTTCTTTGATTTTTCAACGATGGTTGAGGGTTTGAACCCCAGCCTGGCACTAACGTCATTTGGCAAGACATTAATGTACATTTGGCAGTCTCTACCCAAGTGTAAAAGAGAAGCTAGCAATTGCGGTTATGAATATGAGCAGTATTGACTTTGATATGGGCACACTGGGTAAAAAGGACCCAATTAGTAGTATTCTATTTATTTTTATATACAGTGTGAGCCCACATTTTTTTTACAGGAGGCATTGTTTGCGAGAGTGCAAAAATTGACTTGCGCCAAAGTTGCTTATGTGATGTTTGAATAAAATAATTGGGATTTCGGTATTAATTCGGTCTTTGCAGATCCAAATAACATCCTTAACAAAATTAATCATGCCACACATATCAAATATCGAATATCAACGAACATGTGTGCACACCTGTGTGTGTGTGACTTTGCTTCTGCAAAAAGCATATGCAATGCATTTCATTCGATACATTCAATTCATTCTCTCACTCCGCTAATAACTCCGCATAATACATACTGTAGGCATCACTTTGGCGCAAGTCGATTTTTGCTCTCTCGCAAACAATGCCACCTATTCATCCAAGCGTGAACACATACCACACAAAAATGATACCAAATGATTTGGGATAAAACTCTCTTTCATAAGATGTAGAATAGGTTACTGTTCATAAATAATTTTAAAAATAATAAGCAATTTTCTAGGTGTAAACTTTTTTGGGACTCACACGGTATATTGGTAGGCCATTAAATATATTATAATTCAGACTTGATTGCCTTCTAACAAACTATTACATTCACCTAGTACAAGTTAAACAAACTAGTCAAACAATTTGGCTTGCCTGACCAAGGAACTTTATGTACGCAATCAACATTAGGCTATTGAAATACAATATTGATCATTATCTTGATGGAAGTAATAAGTTCTTACTAGTCATTTGGCAAAGAGGTATACTTTAAATGTGATTGCATTAGGAAAGTGGCATGTGGAAAGTGAAAACAGGGGAATCTATAATTGTGTGTGAAATGATGTACATGTATTTAGGTGCAGGGTGTCTGACCTCTTAGACTCCATTAAACATGACATTCACACAGACAGTAAAACAATGAAAAGAATCATGCAAAATCAACCATGTCTGATCAGTGTTTTAGTGACTTAGTGACTATACAGCATAAACCAAATGGCCATATAAAGGAACACATGCGCATGAATATTCATCTCACCATATTCAAGTATTTGTAACAGCTTGGGTCCTATTCAAACGCATCTTGGCATTAATTATAAAATAGGGATCAAACCTAAAGAATATCCAGCAAAACCCAGGAGTGGAGCCCTGGATTCAAATACCGAAGTCAGTGGTATATGGTCCGTACTATTCCACAGGAGAGTATTTATATCATGACACAAGACCACGGATTATATTTTGTTACCTCATTGTTTAATTTGAATAACATATTGTAAGGACTACTGTTATTTAAAAGTGAGGATTACCACAAAATTCTATTAGCTGCCTCAAATACATTACTATGTGAAATTGCTTCTAGTAAGAGAGTTAACTTATGTTTTCCCTTATGTTCTTTGTTTCACAGATAACATTCATGCCGGCCCGGAGGTTATGTCCGATTCCGATGAATTCTAGCCTGGACCGGTAAGTTAGACTCGATCAACATTCTGAAAAATAGAGATGTGAAACCATTAGAAATGGTATGTTGAGATAGACAGACGCGGATCCAAGGGGGCCTTGCCTCCCTGCCCCCCCCCTATCAAAAAATAAAAGAGAATTAAGGAAAGGGAAAGAAAAAAAGGAAAAGAGAAGATAAAGGGAAGGAAAAAAAGAGGAAGAAGAAAAGACAAGAGGGATATCAGTTGCAATATTCCCGCCAACAAGTTGTGGATTGGGGGGCGAAAAGGCCCTTGCCTCCCCCCGCCTCCGCCAAAAAAAAAAAGAGAGAAGGAAGGGAAAGGGAAGGGGAGAGTTAAAAGGGACCAAAAAATTCAAAGATGGTTTATTTCTAATTCGATAACGGTGATTTACAAATGTTACTGAAATGACATAATTTTCCAAGAATTTTCCTCACTTTTTAGTAAATTTTACTTTTGTGTGCGTTTGTTGAAAAGTGACAAATTACAAAATTACAGTCAGGCAAGAAATATGCTTATTAAGAGGCCTACATGTCAGGGCCTGTGAAACGGTGGGGAATCGCCCCCCCCCCCCCTACACTTTTTTGGAAAAAGTATATTGAAGAGAAATGATGGAAAGAAAGAAAGAATAGTGACCTGCCAGTGTCACAAAATAATGGGGTATCAAAATATGCTTATCTGACCGTGATTAAATGCTTAAAACCCCGAGCTTCGGGGGCTATGCCCCCTGTGTTCCACCCTAAGGCGGGCCCTGGCTGCTCATCTGACGATAATTTAATGCCTAAAACCCTTGAGCTTCTGGGGGCTCTGCCCCCTGGACCCCATGCCAATTATTGACCTGCCAGTGTCACAAATAAGGTATCAAAATATGCTCATCTGACCGTAATTAAATGCCCATACCCCCTGAGCTTCGGGGGCTCCGCCCCTAGACCCCACGCCAATTTACGCTATGCTCTACCTGGTCGTAAATACTTTAGCCTCCCCCACCCACTTTGAAAAATATTCAGCAGGGCCTGCATGTAAGAGTGGGGTGATGCGGTCTGCCCCCAACCGTTTTTGCTTATTACACCACTGCTGGTCACCATTACGTACCAATATTTGGCTCGCATAATTTCAAATTCGCCCCCCGCCCCCCCCCCCCCCCCCCCCCCCCCCCCCCCCCCCCCCCCCCCCCCCCCATTTAAGAAACCCTGGATCCGCGCCTGGACATAGATATCTATGAGTACTGCTTTGATCATGCTGACAACTATGACTATATCACCTCTCTTTCCTAAACCACAATTTCATCTTTATTGTTCAAAAAATTCAGCAATTTTTTAAAGTCAATGTAATGCTACAGTCACAAATGTTTGTACGAACGATAATTTTGTACGAATCTCCGTTTTTCCATTTTCTTCCCGAATTTCCATTGTCTGAAAATCGTTCGCACGGCGTTCGTAGCAGTTCGTAATTTGTGACCGAGGCTTTAGACAAACACTCGTAGAACAGTTTCTTATCTGAGATTCAAGAGGCACAATTCCAAAATGTTCCTACATGCACATATATTTTGTTTGAAAATTTAAAAGGTGGACACAATTCGAGGGTATGTGTACTATGCCATTTAGTTTCAAATGGGAGCACAGGCTGGTTGTGCCACCTTATACATTCATTTGCATATGAATGCAAGATGATATGGTTTTTATTTGAATGATTTGTTATATTTCCTACAGGTAAACATAAAAAAAGAGCAAGACAAGGACATCATCTAACAACACCCGCCTCTCAACTATCTCCCCTATACCGTCATCATCTTCCAACCAGTTCCCCACACATCTTCAAACCAGTTCTGCCATCTTCACACCAGTTCCCTCAACATCTTCACACCAGTTCTGCCATCTTCACACCAGTTTAACAGGTATTCCAACATTCTTCAAAGCCAATACTGCCATTTATATCTATATTCTATTAACTTATTTATTTCCACCTTGTCACACTCAATCATCATTGTATTTCCTGTACCTTGTCTTGCTCTTTTTTTATGTGAATGTTAAAGTGTTGCTTCCCATGGCAAAAGGTTCACTATTGACAAAGTCTATATTTGCGTGTGGTTACATAGAACCACAATGTTCCATTCTAAGTGAATGTGCGATATTTCCTATGTTGACTATTTTGGCTTTACATAATATACAATGTCTCTTCTCATTACACACATATCCATCCATCATTATACAATCATATACATATGTCCATTATGTGGCCTCCTTATGCCAAAATGCCACATAATTTCTCCTTTTTG